GGAAGTTTGCTGTATGGGCTAAGGCTTCCACAATTAGTGTGAATCAGGATTGAGCTCAATATGACTTCAAAGACGACGGAATGTTAGTAAAAACTTTTTTGATGAGATCATTTGATGTCCGGCAGTTACTTTGGTGTTTGTTTTGCTCTTGTACGCGTAGACTGGCCTTCAGGCGCTACACTGGTGGTAGCGGAAAGCAAACTCGACTTTTTTAACGACTTATTCTTTTATCTATTGCTTGTGATATGTGCCTACGATGCAGATAAAGTGTATTCACATTGGGTGAGGGATCGTCTGATTTAATTACAACAGGCGGGTTGAGAATGGTGTCCGAGTTTGGTTCCACCTTGACTCCATGTTCAACAGAAAAGCCATTTACAGCTGGAGTGACACCGCCGTGAACCATCTGGAAGTGTTTTGTATCGGAACCCTTATTAATTTCAAATACAGATATTGAAGGTGACATTACGACGAATCTCCATGCATAGGGGATTGTGTTCGATCTCGTCCTCCCCATTAAACATCTGTTTTAGACCAGTTTCCAACTTCTAGTCGGGCACACTGTTAACAATCAATGAAAATTCCTCGTCCCGGCTTGGGACCTCACATCACACTCAGCATCAGGTCCATTTGAAGCTTGTGAGGGGACCAAGTGTTGTCTTTCATTATCATGGTAACTGATGAATTGGGCGGACGGCTCAAGAGTGCTTCCTCGCAGCACCGAATATGTTATGATGGCTAGAGCGAGAGGTTTACTAAGGGCAATGCCGAGGGCATCGTTCAAAAGAAGAAGGAGATAGTGTAATACTTTGCCCATTTGACCATCTGAGGTCTAGCTGCCACTTTGTATTTGTTTAGTCCTCGAACGCGTGGGCTAGCCTTCGGACAATTAGAGGACTCTATTCTTTCTTCTCTTTGCGAGGATGTATTTTGCCTAACGTGGAAATAGGTGTTAATGCACCTATTACATGGAGATAAATGTTTCAATAATTTGCTCAACTGCTAGCACCAGTGGCGTCCACTTCGGCGGCTAAATCCCTACTTTCCCCCTGTCTACATGTTGCGTTCCAATATCGAATAAGAAGAATTGGAGGGACATAAATTTGAACTGTAACACCTAGCACTCTTAAGGTTGCCACCAAGCCATTTTGGCATTAGTATTAAACAAAACACTTGCTTTAGACATGCTTAGAATGACCAAATTAACCTGCATTATTAAAAATCAGGTTAGATTTTTGTCTGCGGACTCAAAAAGTTAACCAAATTTCATTAATAGTTTTGATGAGTGCCAATAGAAGCGCTCAATGCAGCTTTGTCTGTGATTTGTGGGTGGGCTGCACTGGTACGAGATATGAAGGAGGGTGAAGTAGAGCCGAGTGGTAAGCACTTATTATTTCTAACAGCCATGTTTATCTTTTCGATCGAATATCTGCTTTCGTATTTTAGACCACTTGGCGGCTAAGTAGTTCTTTTGTTCTATGTCATTTTCAGCTGGTGCTATGAAAACAAGCTTTATGTATGAGTACTTAATTACTCAGGGCTAGTTTCTATTTGCATAGCACTACTTTGCATTTGTTGGCAACAATTTGTGTGTTATTTCTCACACCAATGTCTTGGTTTTGAAACAATTCCGGTTTTCATATCATGGCGCAAGTTACTTCCTTAAGGTGAATATGAATCTACCAATCAGTCCGTTGCAGAAAATGAAGAAGGCAGACGCGAATTTAGTGCTAAACGTTCACGCTACTCGCGCAGCCGAAGCCGTAGCCACAGCTCCTCTCGATCCTACAGTTGCAGTCGGTCAAGGTCCTCTGATAGCTACCGCCGACGCAGACGCCATCGTAAGCGAAGGCATGGGAGCCGAAGTGGTAGTCACTCTGGTAGCTCGCACACTTCGCGATCCTATTCCAGATCGAGTTCGTTTAGTTCATACTTAAGATCGCGGAGTTGTAGCAGATCGCCTTCCCCTCGCGAGGCTTCTAAGTTCCATGAGAAGGACCCTCGAGATCGTTCAATGCGACACCGATGGGGAAATAATGTATGTTGGTGTATTTTAGCCTTTTTGAACCTAGTTTTTTTCACCGGCCGCTTCTTTTAGGTTTGGATTGTTGGCGAAAAAGTAAAAGGCCTCACCTTTCATGTCTGCGACATCTGTGACAAGCCCATTGTTGTGTATGGACGTTTGGTAAGTCTCTATTTGCTCTTCTTTTATCCCTCCACAAAAATCCGATACAAATTTTTTCTATGGTG